TGAACATTTATCCTTTAGCAAACCAAGTAGTGCAAAACCTCTTTTCTGCAAGGTTAAGGACTTGGGGGAAAGGTCTAGCTTTGCCTTTGGGCAGATTTATTTATTCTAAACAGTAAAACAGAATAGCACTGAGGCTTTAGTATGCTTTATAGCATAAAATCAAGGTAGGGTTTCCAGGCAAAATACCTGAAGTTTTTATTTTACGACAACTTCAGACTACCACTTTGAAATTGCAAAGGTAGGCAAGTATTTAAACTTGCCGGTTTATTTAGATTTTTCTTCTTCCAGAATAGAAAACATGATACATTCTAAATTGCTTAAAATTTCTCTCACCACTTTATATGACCTGTAGATATTGTACGTGGAGGGGGAAATGCGTAATGTGTAAAATATTTTGTTACAGATATGTAATAGTTGGTTTAAACTGGCTTCAGGCTGTCATTAAAAGATGGTGGTCAGAACTATCTGCACATACAGAAAAGGCAGAGGATGGGTGAGTATAGTTTTGGTAAACATTTAAATGTGTTTCTGTAGCTTATTTCTTCTCAATCTATTTTAATTTTGATCAGTAGGAGCACACTTTACCTACAAAAGACAATATTATAATTTGAAAGTAAAAGCTTTACTTAAGAGTAGTAGACACATGTAGTGTTTGGAAATTTATTTTAAAAATAGTAATGGTTTTATTGGGTTTTTTACTGGTGTTTTAATACATGTAGAGCATTTTTATATCAGTGATTATACAAATGCTGTAAAAATTGGAGCAAAAGTTTGTGGATCTTGTGGTATAGGCTAAGATTTTGCACAGTATTAATAATATGTTTTAGTCCAAAAGACTACTGAAATGTAGTACGTGTGTTATAAAGTGTTCATTCTTTTTCAGAAATACTCGTATTTTAAAACAACAATTAAGTGCTTTATGGGAACAGGAGAATCATCTTACTCTGGTTCCAGGATATACTGGTAATGTGGCTAAGGTAATCCAGTTCCAGTTGTGTTCAGTAATAAACATAGTTGTATCGCTTACAATATTCCTCTTGTTTTGTGTTATTTATGCTAAACTATGGGTGGAGAGAAACACCTTCATTTTCCACTAATGTTCAAGTATATTGCACAATTTTAACAGAAGTCTGGCGTGGATGTCCTATGATAATAGTAATGTGGTTTAGAATTGTAATAATGACTTTTTTTAATCTTTTTTGCTTTCTTTATGGGGGAGGCATCTCCTTAATAACAAAGTGGCTAATAGTAATAAGCCTTAAAGTTGATTTTTAAAAAGGGTCTCAGATGAATAGGTAGACTGTGGAAAGGACAGATGTTTTCTCTGAAATCTGTTGTACCCTTTGTTATAAGTGTAACACAGAATGGAGAATCTTAGCCCAGGAATGTCATTAGCATTTGCACATCAGGTGACTGGGGCAAGTGACAACATAGTGAATTCTAAATCTTATTGCTGATCTAACGCTCAGAAAATGGTAAGTTTGTGAAGAGCAGAGCATCTCTTTCTGAGTCAAATTCCTGTTTGCCTTTCTCAGTAGGTTGTGGTATCAGCAATGTAATAGGGGTGCCTGGTAGATACATGTTTTGCTGCTCATACTCATCTCTATAAACACAGCTTTCTGTGGTTGGGCACCAAGAGTCATACTGAGTAAGAAACCTCCATGCATGGAAGGACCTAATGAAGGTAGACAGTGAGAAAGGACTTAAAGCAGACAATTGGTTATGTGCAAGATTTGAGTGAACTTGAAAAGAACTTAGACATAGTGTACTCTACTTGGGTCTTAGGGAGTTTTGGGGAATCTATCATTCTATGCCTACAGAATTGGTAATTTTGATGTATCAAACAAGTTACTTTGTGGGACAAACGAGTTAGTTTTTCTGGACTGCTGTGCATCTGCGACTTCAGTTTTGATGTTCCTGCAAGGATAATTGCAAACTTCTTGCAGAGTTTCAGTCACCAGGGATGCAGAAGAACCATATTTTAGCTCCCAACTGGTAGAGCTATGAGAGCCTATATCATAGACTGCCTAGTTCTTTTGCTAAGTCAACTATAGCTAATGTCAGTTTGTTTCTGTAGGATTCATGCTCCTTTATATTTATTTGCCTGCTTCTTAACATATATTGGGATAGAATGTGACCAAGGTCACCTGAGCAAGTCAGGAGCAAAAGTAGTACAAGAATATTGGAGGGATTGTGTGAAGGAATATCATGCTTAACATGTTTTAACTACATGATCATACGATGACAATTGTTTCCTGTGCATGCAGGGAGCAGAGGAATAACAGACTAAATTAATGGCTTTGGAAATGAATTCTGCTGTTCTTGCAGGCCCTTTTAGTACATAAAGAAATAGCATTAAAAGCACTTATTGAAAGTAATCACAAAGATAACTTGTTCTGAAATTGGGCCAAATATAATTATTTTTGTGTTATGGGCCTGATGGGCTATCTTGCTTCAGGCGTGCAGTCAATGTTAGAGCTGTAAGTCATGTGACAAACACTTCTTCTTTTTTTTCTTCCAGGATGTAAATGCTTATTTATTACAGCTACACTGACATGATTGGGAACCTCTGTGTGCTTATGTGGTGAAACAATCCCCAAAAGTATCCCTGAAATATGTACTGAAAGCCTTTTGAGAAATACTGGCAGAAGAGAACTGAACTGTCAAGCTGTTTAATGAAACCACTAACAAAATCCTAACAATCTACTTCACATTGAAGTGGAAAAATGTCTAGTAGGAGCAACTTTTACTTCAGTGAGGTGAAAGTGCACTATGAAAACTGTATGCCTTTGCTGCATTTGGGATTCACTCAGTTACTAGGTATTCATTTAAATGCTACTGTATTTTACTACAACATCGCATAAAAGAAGATGAATTATACTGTCGTGAAGACAAGACAGCAGAAACAGTTCTAAGGAACCAACAAAAGCAATCAGCATTAAGACCTTTTAAATGTCTCTATCACAAGAGAACTCCAAAATGCACAGCTTTCTTCCAATTACATTAAAAAAACCCACAACTTTGAATATTCAGTTACTTCTGTTTTAATCAAATTATTAAAGACATTTTTTGTTTGCACTATTGAGAAACTATACAGCAAAGATGCCTTAATTACTAGTGTTTCAAAAGCCAATGTGTTAAGATGCAAATAGCTATTATGTTCAGATTGTGATGAAAAACTACAAAAATCAGGGTTTCACATTATGTAGTTAATGAAACATTGCACATGTACAAAGATTAATGTATGAAAAATATAAATACCTGAAGTTAAGCTTGGATAAACAGTTATTGCAAATGTCAGCAGAATGGTGAATTTGTCTAACAAACCTTTTTATATTCTATGTGGATTTCTAACGCAGTAATCTTGTTCTGTATCATATAAACTACATACAAGTAAGTAAATATATTAAATATATCTACTGTTTTTTCTTTAAAGTTCAAAAAATCCCAACAATTTCTAGAATCTCTTCCACAGTACTTTTTATCATAGATATTTATGTCTATTGTTTGAAATGTTTACAGCCAGATGAGGCCATGTTACTCAAATCACACCCTTTTTGTACTACCTCCTTTAAGAAACTGACAAAGAGCTTTTGCAAAATTAATCAAGTTCTAGCCTGATCAATGATGACAAATTCATACCTATAATAGCATTGAAAATACAGCTACAAACTCTTACTGTCATATTACTATGCTGTTCTATTTTAATTTAAAAGCTGTATCTTAATAGCTCTGAGGGAATCTTGATTTTAGGCTTGCTGTTGCCTTTTTAAATTTTGTGATTAGGAAGAATGCTTTTTCAGATAAAACTTAACAAGTGCCAGCTGTTGACTTAAAACAAAAATATATATGCATAACATGTATGACCACATAGTCTGCTTCATCAAAAAGCTAAGTGCTTACAAGGGTTATTTTCATACCTAGCATTAAGCATGTGCACTTTTATTAATGTGCAGGATAAGAGTCTCTTGAAGGCCCCAAGTGGTTTTTGCTTTACAGACTAAATGAATTTAAGCTCCTGTAGTGGTCAACAGCTTTAGGCCTCCTGTTGCTTCATTTTGCATTTAGTTTACATATCATTTATTACTGACTTCTGAAGCCCAACTAAAAATGTGTCATCAGAACTTGGTGCTTTTGGTTATTTGAATATTCTGTAAACCACCAAAGGTTTTGCACTTCCCAGGGCAGTCAGCTACAGAGAAGAATTTCTGGGACATTCAAAAACTTAGGACTTTGTGGGACAATCTGGAGTTATGCACGTAGCCAAATTCATGTTGCTAGAATTGTTATGTATCATTAGAGATATTTCATGCTCAAAAGAGGTTGAAATGGAACTTTTCAAATGTTCTTGCAGTCAGTTAAAATTTTAAATGAACTACAATACGACAACATTCCTGTATTACTTTACTGTTCTGTTGAGCACTTAAATGTAAAAGTAACATAAAAACTAGCTATATAATTTGAGTAGCAATTGCTGGAACTTAGATTATTCCTCAAGGAGAACACTGTAGAGGTAGTGGAAGCTCAGATCTTTTCTCTTGTGTGTTTTTTGGGGTTTTTTTTTTTAATAGACAAAATGAAGTAACTCATGGCCATTTATTTCTGGTAATACAAGAAGTAATAGTTTTAATTGAGTAAAGGGATACTCTAGTAATTAAAAATCCTACTTGACTATAGATGTAAATATGAGGGGTTATAATGAATTCTGCATGTGGCCATGGAGTTACCAAATCATAACTCTGGATGGTGCTTTTGTTCTAGAGGCAAGGTAAGGTAGACTTGAGGATTGTTATTGAGGAATATCTAATAAAATAATAAATTCTTTTTAACTGCCAAAAGTTGTATTTTGACAGCATTAATAATACAGTATTAAACATTAAGTCATTAGTATGTGTGCCTTATTTTAAATGAATCTTTTTAATGTTTTCAGGCAGCTATTAGAGTGTAAGAACAGGGTTCTGGTGTTTCCATTATGAAATTATTTTTCTGTCATGATCTTGAAGAACTGATTGAAACTATTCACACTGATATTCAAGTTCAGCTTCTTGTGTTCTCTTTCCTTCTCAAATGGCTAGAATCAGTTTTGTTGTACATGTATAATATCTGGTCAAAGGTGACATGAGTAAAATGTCTTAACAGCTGTGTAACTCCATGAAATCCATATAGTTGTCTCAGTGAATCTGAGAATTAAATTTATGAACTATTATGTGCATAACTGCTAATCTTTATGTGATAGTTTCTGAAAATGCTGTTTCTAGGATATGTCAAAAGATCCAGGCAGAGTTAATCCTTTACCTGTATGTTCTTGTGATGCAGAAGCAGGTATATATTTAAGGATGAAGGATGCCTCCACAAAGCTGTTCTTCGTGTTGTACCACTTGATATGAAACTAATGTCTTTGAAAAGCAGTATGTCTTTTGCCTCAATGTTCCCTGAAAGTATTTGAGGCTGTTTTGCTGAAAGAGTACGTATTTGAAACATGACCCTGGACTTGTCCATGCCCTAAAGTGAAATTGAAGAATCCTTCTGGCAAACTGCCTGTTTCTGCAAAGTCAAAAAAACTCCAATATTCTCTAAATGTAAGAGTCAAAGTTTAGATATTGCTGATAGCTTGCTGAAGAGTGGAGGTGGAAAAAGCTAGTCCATTAATTAGCTGGGTACAAAGAACCCATCTATGATTATGCATGTCTCCATTTTGAAGGAGTTACACCTCTTTCTTAGTTGAGAGTACTCTACTTTTGTGTTACACAGGTACTGCAGTTCTAGACTACTTAATAGTGCTTACAAATTGTTGCTGGTATTAAAATAATTAGCATCAGCCCTCCAGGAGCTTACCTTCTATAATGAGATATAAATAAAATGATCTCTCCCTTCCTGTAGACTACTTTATTATTATCAGAGGCTGCAGTTTTAACAGGTGAAGTACAGGAGGAGTGGGAGAGTAGGAAAGGACAAAAGAAGTACACATGCCCCATGATGAGTAACATCAGCCTCATTGCATTATACCATATGTATCTTAATGCAAGTTGTATTTTCATTTTCTGGCATGTGAAGTAGGTAAGTTTGGAGTTGGAGGTCTTTATGCATTTTGTGATGTATTGATTCTTTTTCTTTCTTGAAAGAGTGGACATTTTGTGTGGAAAGACTTCAGAGTATCTCGTGTGAAGCTTATATTTTGAGCTAGCAAGTGGTTGCTTTTGCCATTTCATCTTGCTAGATCTTCCAGTTTTACAGAAGACTACTGAATGTCTGTCTTAATGTGTGGGGATTTGCAGCTATGTTTTGTGCCTAGTTTTCTGGTGCAAAGTGAAATAGGTGGTTTATAGTCAACTATTTCAGAATACAAAGCCATGCAAATCATGCTGCTGTTCTGAAGTTATTCCAGCTTTGCACAATGCAAATGCTTAAGTTTATGAAAATGGTTGACTCTTATGTAAGGAACTTTATATTGAGCTGATGCTGCATTAGAGGAGGGAAAAACAAGAAGCAGTTGTTAATAGCCTTGGTAAAAGCCAGACAGTGTAGTCTAATTTCTGCCTTCAGTCTACCATCCTACACACAGTAATCATTGTAGGCTACAGATAAAGATTCACAGAGAAAATAGATTGAGCATTCTTGTGTTTAGTGCTTATATTATCCTTCTTTAAACAATTTGTTTATTCCATGAGTTAAATGGCTTGGTGTGTGTCTTAGAATGGGACTAAATGCAAGTATTTTTCTCTTCCCTTCCCCATTTATTCTTCAGCACTTAATGATGTTACTTATTCCTCTCCTAGTTTAAATACACTATGAATGTCTATTGTTAGAAGTGGGGAGGGGAGGATGAGAATTCTAGAAAAAAAACACAGAACTGGCTATTTAACAAGATTTATTTTGAAGCAATTGTGAAAACTTTCAGTCTTTAAAACGTTTCACACAAATTTTGTTAATACCTACTAGTTGAAGTGGGCACTCACAGCTGCAAGTTTGACTTTGAACATGGTTGGCAAAAATAAAAGTTTTCTTTCTAAATAACCATAGCTGCAGTATTGTTTCTATTTATTCTTGGCTTTGCATTGAGTACTAAAGCTGATTCTAACCTGCCATATGGGAGGTGTAGCACCATCCCTTAAAGGGATAGAATAGAAATATTCACATAGTCTTCAACTATTGCAGACCCAGAATATTTTTGTTTCCATACAGACAAGTTTTGTACTGTATCTCTTTATGTACATTGTAACTGCTGATCACATTGCTGTAAAATGAGATTGGCTGCTTTCAGGCTGAATGTGGTACATAGTTGTTTCCAATTCATATGGATCACTGCTTCAGTTCAGGTAGTTGTTACTTTGCAGTGTAGATGAACAACTAACTGTTGGGGTCTCAAACACCTCTACTTTGCTGTAACAAAATACAAGGATGCCACATTCAAGTTTTCCACCTTTTTATTTGTCTGTTATTCCTTTATTGAAGTGCTTAAAACCATTTGAATCTCATTTGGAAAGTGCTAGGTGCCAAAATGTGGTAAAAAAGCTTTTAAAAATATGCTTTTGACATGTTTTAATACAGTTCTGTGAATAATAGTTTTCTGTGGATTTGGGAAGGAGGCTGTTTTCTATATGTATAGGCTTGAAATAAACAGAAGTAGTGGATTTTACTGAGATTATAATCATATTCTTGATACCTTTTTTTATATAAGCACTATGTGTATTGTGAAACAGTGAAACTGAATCTAAATATCAAGATAATGTTGCATTCCAAGGCTGCCTGCTCCTAGGTGGGTGAGTGTTGAAATACATAGGCACCCTAGTATCATACTTTTAAGGTGACCTGTAGACAGTTCAAATAGCTTTTGTAATTTAGTTTGATGGCTCTTTGTCAAATTGTATTTAATCTATTGAACTTCACTTTCAAATAGTCCAAACTGTTTGGGTCTTGTAGTTGCCATTTTTACACTTGTTTCAGATATTCTATGAATTGAAGACTTAAATAGCGCAGTAATAATTCCAGCTTTAGAAATGTAGCTGGACTTTTTATCTTTTGTGACAACAGACTTTAATTACACCTCT